CTATGAACAAAGCTAATGGAGGTGATGGAATTCCAGCTGAGCTATTTCAAATCCTAAAAGATGATGCTGTGAAAGTGCTGCACTCAATATGCCAGCAAATTTGGAAAACTCAGCAGTGGCCACAGGACTAGTAAAGGTCAGTTTTCATTCCAATGCCAAAGAAGGGCAATGCCAAAGAATGTTCAAACTACCACACAATTGCACTCACTTCACATGCTAGCAAGGTAATGCTTAAAATCCTTCAAGCCAGGCTTCAACAGTATGTGAACCATGAACTTCCAGATGTTCAAGCTGGATTTAGAAAAGGCAGAGGAACCAGAGATCAAATTGCCAACATCCATTGGATCATCAAAAAAGCAAGAGAGTTCCAGAAAAACATCTACTTCTTCTTCATTGACTACACTAAAGCCTTTGACTGTGTGGATCACAACAAACTGTGGAAAATTCCTCAAGAGATGGGAATACCAGACCTCTTTACCTGCCTCCTGAGAAACCTGTATGCAAATCAAGAAGCAACAGTTAGAACTGGACATGGAACAACAGACTGTTTCAAAATTGGGAAAGGAGTACATCAAAGCTGTATATTGTCACCTGGCTTGTTTAACTTATATGCAGACTACATCATGCAAGATGCCAGGCTGGATGAAGCTCAAGCTGGAATCAAGATTGCCAGGAGAAATTTCAGTAACCTCAGATATGCAGATGACACCACCCTTATGGCAGAAAGCAAAGAGGAATTAAAGAGCCTCTTGATGAAAGTGAAAGAGGAGAGTGAAAAGCTGATTTAAAACTCAACATGCAAGAAACTAAGATCATGGCATCTGGTCCCATCACTTCATGGCAAATAGATGGGGAAACAATGGAAACAGTGACAGACTATTTTTTTGGAGTTCCAGAATCACTGTGGACGGTGACTGCAGCCATGTAATTAAAAAATGCTTGCTCCTTGGAAGAAAAGCAATGACAAACCTAGACAGCATTTTAAAAAGCAGAGACATCACTTTGCTGACAAAGGTCCATATAGTTAAAGCTATGGTTTTTCCAGTAGTCATTGTATGAATGTGAGTTTAATCAGAAAGAAGACTGAGTGCTAAAGAATTGTTCCTTTAGAACTGTAGTGCCAGAGAAGACTCTTGAGAGTCCCTTGGACAGCAAGGAGATCCAACCAATCAATCCTAAAGGAAATCAACCCTAAATATTCATTAGAAGGACTGATGCTGAAGCTGAAGCTTCAATACTTTGCTCACCTGATGTGAAGAGCTGACTCTTTGGAAAAGACCCTGATGCTGAGAAAGATTGAGGGCAGGATGAGAAGTGGGCAACAGATGATGGTTGGATGGCATCACCAACCCAATGGACATGAGTTTGAGCAAACTTGGGGAGATAGTGAAGGACAGGGAGGCCTGGCAGGCTGCAGTTCATGGAGTTGCAAGGAGTCTGACACGACTAAACAACTGAACAGCAACTTCACAGAACAGATCTCTACTCAAGTTGACTTTCTCTCCTGATCGTTTTGAGAAGCAGCTGCCAACTGTTTAATCTATCTGTCTCTCTCCTACACACACAGAGTGATGCAGGTAAATTATAAAAATAAAAATGTATTTTCTACCTTATCAGGCTTCCTTGTAATCTGTGCTTTGAGAGGCTTTCTACTATCACATTGATAAAAAGCACAGTAGTCTGTCATCACTGCTATAACCTGTACTTTGTCCTTTTAAGAAACTATGTGAGGGACCTCTCTGGTGGTCCAGTGGTTAAGACTCTGTGCTTTCAATGCAGGGGGCTGGGGTTCGATTCCTGGTTGGGGAACGAAGATCCCACATGCCAAGTGGTGTGGCCAAAAAACAAGTAAGAAAGGAAGGAAGAAATTATGTGGAAATAATCCTTTCTTTGCAGTGATGGTTCCTTATCTGGTCCTGAAGTATCATAAAATTCTCAATCTTTCTCAGTTCTCTTATATCCAATCCCAGTTTGGCAAATACAGAAAGAGTGATTTCTTTAGACTGCAAGTGTACCCATGTCAATCTCCTACCTGAAACCTTTCCCCAACTTAGAATTGCCCTTAAATGGAATTCTCCCATCTTCAACATGGCCTTCATGGGAGATCAGGGCTGCCACTGCTCTGGCCTCATGATTTTACCCCAAATCCTCACCCCACCTCTACCTACTACATGTAGTTTAGCTTCAGTGACTCTGAAGTTACTGACTTCTTCCAAAGTTCCCTGACATTCTGTCACTCACGTTCTTTCCTCTCTACCTGGAGTGCTTTCCTATTTTTCCCTCCACCTTTTATTCTTTGCATGAATTCCACTCTCTAACCCACAGTAAGTCCAACCCAGGTCTGAGTAGGGGTCCTCCAGGTGCCCCCCTAGCATTCGGGATACCGCCAGTACTGGAGCTCAAGGCATGATAAGTAGTCAAAGACAAGATGAGCGAAGATGATTGAAAAAGGCAATCGTTTCTTACATGGGTGCAGGAGCCATTTACTAGGTGTGGTGGCACAAGGCCGATAGTTGAGAAAAAGGAGGAATTAGATAATAGCAAATCAGTTGATCTGGGAAGGTAGGAGGGTGACAAGAGAGAAAAATTCAGTTCCCAATGAGGGATTCAATTGACTTCTCTGCTAAAGAATGTCAGGCTGAGTTCCTACTGACATGATCATTATTTATGATCCCCCAAATTTAGTAAAAGTGTAATGGAAAATTAGATAATACCTGGAGATTTCTATTTATGAGTTTCAGTCATTAACTCCTACCTAAAAGCTAAATCTTGTTCCCTTAAAACACAGATTGTGTAAATTATTGACACGTAAATTTTTGAACTCTGTAATATATGCTGATTCTCTTGGCATATGAAATTAATCATCACACTATGTAGTATTTTGAGATTTACTGTTAAATTTATGACTACCTTGACACTCTAACAGGTAGCTGAGTTACATAAAAGCCAGCGCTCTTAGAAAAATGTAAAAGCAAAGAATACTGGATTTAAAAATTGTTCTGAACCATTGGATTGACATTTCCCATAGGAATCTGTGGTTTCCAATCAGTAATATTGACATTCAATTATCCATTGTGTAAGATAAATTATTCTCTCAGGGAGTGGGGTTTACATATTAAAATATTAACAAAATACTTATGTATCAAAATCAATAATAAAGGAGATTATTTAAAGCTCCATTTTGCCTCTTAAAAGTTTGTAGACATTTTTTGAACTTGACTTATCTGCTCACTAATAATGATTATTGCATATAGAATCAAAGTCTCTAAGGAATCACTTACTTGGAGGACATTCAGACATAAAGAAGGATAAGATAAAAGGAAATGCTGTATCATGCCATCTTAAAAATATTAGAAGAGCAAGAATTCAGTTATGAACTAGTCTTACACAATGGACATAAGATAATAATATGAATTTTATCCAATAAAAATTTTCTTGTAAAACTTGGAGAATAAAGTTTACATATAGGTTGACCCATACTAGGACTTACAAAGAGTGCATCTGTAAGTATATAATGCTTTTCTCTAGGTTTATATGGTAGAATCACTGATAAGCCCAGTTTCAAGCAATGTTCACTATTAACTCACAGCTTAGCTCTTAAACTTTAGGAACCTCCTTCTCTTCACCTTAAAGTCACAGATTTGTCAAAGTCCTCTAGAATAGTCTCAGGAATTTATGAAATGAATAAACTTGCCTTACTTAAGGTATCCTTAAGAGTTCCCCTGCTCCAGTCCATTCTGGCTGCTGCTGCTAAGTCGCTTCAGTCGTGTTCAACTCTGTGCAACGCCATAGACGGCAGCCCACCAGGCTCCCCCGTCCCTGGGATTCTCCAGGCAAGAACACTGGAGTGGGCTGCCATTTCCTTCCCAGGTCCCTGTAGGCCTCTTTGCCATCCCACATTTTCTAGCTCTACTTGGAGGCAGCAAGATCTTAAAACTATAATAGTACTGGAATATTTCAGTTCTCTAATGCTGCCTGAGGCTTGAGGAAATCAGGTGTTTGCAAAATCAAGTTACTTGTCCAGAAATATGCCTTAGTTTCTGCTGGCATTAAATTCGCTCCCACTTTTCAGTCAGGGACTTCCACTTACCTTATTAAGTAATCAATCTGTATTCATCATTACAGTGGCCTCTCTTGAGTAGTACACTGGAAGAAACTCATCTCCACAGTAGTATTATTGATTTTATGTTTTATAAACAGCCCAAATATTTATTCTCAGGTGTTGTCCATTAGTATTTTAATAATGTGGTTTTTTTTTACCTAAATGTGTGGTTTCCTTAATTAAAATACTATTCCTCATATAGAACAAATATTTTAGTAACATTTGTAAGAAATCCTGTATTTTGCAGTTCCATTTCTTTCCCATCGAAAGATTTGGTTCTCTTTCTCTTTCCCACATTCAGGACTGAGAAACATCTTCTAACTGCTTTATAAAATCTCATATTATCAACATTATGTACTTGTCTGAAATCACAGTAGTAAAAAACCTACCTGCCAATGCAGACCCAGATTTGATCCGTGGGTTGGGAAGATCCCCTGGAGAAGGGACTGGCAACCCACTCCAGTGTTCTTGCCTGGAGAATCCCATGGACAGAGGAGCCTGGTGGGCTACAGTCCGTAGGGTAGCGAAGAGTCAGACATGACTGAAGCAACTGAGCATGTGCTTTGAGAAGTGCACATCACCTCTGAAGTACCCTTCCCAATAATTCATAACCTCAATCTATTCATGTGGAAACATCAGGCAAACTTAAATGAAAGTAAAGTTCTGTAGAATAACTGACCAGTGACTTCATGATCTGATAAGTAATTCACATTCCATTAAGCAAGCTGCCAAAAGCACACATTCTGTTAATTTGACAGATTGAAAATATGTGAAAAATACTGATTTAGAGAGATGTTTCATTAAATCAATGAAGTGATTAAAGTTTTACATGCCAGTTTGCCTAAAATAAGAGTGTATCAACAATTTTACAACACGTTTCTATCACTTCTGTCCACAGGCGATTCAGCTAATCTCACCTGCAGAGCTTTCTTTGGGTATAGTGGAGATGTCAGTCCTTTAATTTACTGGATGAAAGGAGAGAAGTTTATTGAAGATCTGGATGAAAATCGAGTTTGGGAAAGTGACATTAGGTAAAGTAATTTTTCTCTTTTAACTTGTACAGTCAAGATTCACATTTGCTGTGTTAGTGAATAGAAAGTGAGCTAAAACAGAAGGGGGTTGGGGGGTGTTTTACTATCATACTAAAAATGTTACAACATTTAATGGCAAGGAGGAAAAATATCCTTAAGGGAGTGACTGTGAAATTGTAAAATCTGAGTGCCATTTGCAAAGAATTTAAGAGAAATAAAAAGGAATTTTCCACTAAGGAATAAACTGAATGTGAGATTACTGAAATAGCATCAAATACGGAAAATGTGATATTGTGCCTTTGGTTGATAAGAGCTCTTTTTTTTTTTTAATTGTTGAGAGGAAATATTGGTTGGCCAAAAAGTTTGTTTGGGTTATACCATCGTCTGGACAAACACGAACAAACTTTTTGGCCAACCCAGTGTTAACAGGTTTTTAGGATTCAACATCATGTTTTTTAGGATTCAAACATCATCTCTGTCACTTCCTTTTATATGTTTCTACGTATTTGAGGCATCATGTAGACTATAAAACACTTGATAGTAATAGTAAAGAATACAAAAATGCTTTTATTACCTTTTTTAGTCTGATTTTAAGATCTAAATATTAATATAGTGGAATAATAGCAATAATCATAAAAATACAATTATTTTGAGGGCATAATGCTTCTGTCTCTTCTTTTTTGAAAATAATTAACATATTTGTTTGCTTACTTTTAAATATTGAGGTATTCAGTGACTAAAAGTACACTTATATATACTAATTTTTATTTATAATGTAAATAAGCAAATATACTAATTAATAAATTATAAGTGAATCAAAATGCAGATCATTTGTAAACATCTCCAATCTAAAGATCACCTCTTTTGGGTATATTTGAGCATTTTAACCAAATTCTTCTTCTTAAATGGGAGAACTTTTAAAACTTGAGGAAAGGTATAAGAGGAAAAGATTTTCAGTAGAAAATAAAAACCTATAAAACTGTCATAGAGGGTTATTTCTACTGGAATTTTCTTCCTGGCAACAAATACCCAGGAATATAACATTGCAGTCAGGTTCTGAAATGCCCAGATGAGCAATTCTTCAATACATACTAAAATGTTCCTCTGCCATTTTTCATGTTTAAAACTTCACTATTATCTTATACTCATACACTCTGAAATGCTAAGGTTATAGGACAATAAGCCTCCTAACTTTCCCCCTCTCTCCTTTTGTGGGTGCTCAGGGAATGTTCTAGAAAGGTATTTTTTTCTTTAATTATTCATGAGGAAGTATTGTGCAAGCATGAGTTACCAAAGGGGTGGGAGAGTAAAGGTGGAAACTTGGTGAGCATAGCAAAGGAGCCCTACTTTGAAGTTTTCCATTTGTTCTGAAAAGATTGTTAAAATCCTTGACAATGAGGTTAGTGAGCATCTACCATGAATTTTAAATGTCAGAATTAAATGCTTCATCAGAACATTTAGTCTATGGTTTTGTAATTTCATATTTCTTTAAAAATAGGAATTGATTTGTACCTTTAAAAAAAAATGCCAGGCTAGAGGTTTCAACTGAAATGTCAAAGTAGCTCAGAAATTTTCTATCCTTCGTTTCTTTAAAATTAGCCTGATAGATAATTAGTCCTCCAGCCTAAGACATTAGAATTTCTTATCCCACCCTTACATCATATTTCTTCTTAAAGGGAAAGCAATTTGTAAACTTTTCTTCAAGGTCTCTCTCACCTCTTTATTATGACAGTGTGATTGTCCTGCTAAGAGAGATAATTAACTGCAACTTCATTAGCATCTACAAAGACAAGCTTCCTTATTAGAAGTGAAGAAGAAAAGGGCATGATATAATTTAATTAAGATAGCATCAATCCATGACTAAATTTGAAGCACAGATGCTGTAGGTTTTTTCATATCAGATTCATCTAAATTTTTTTTCATGTGTGTGTATGTTTGTGTGGGGGTTTTTTGTTTCATTTTGCTTTATGTTTTAGAATTCTCAAGGAGCATCTTGGGGAGCAGGAAGTTTCCATCTCATTAATTGTGGACTCTGTAGAAGAAGGTGACTTGGGAAATTACTCCTGTTATGTTGAAAATGGAAATGGACGTCGGCATGCCAGCGTTCTCCTTCACAAACGGGGTGAGTGTCACCTTCTAAGTTTGAGTAGTTGACTTAACCTTTAATGAAAGTGAAATAATTGGAAGATAAAAAAATTTTTTTTACATAAATTTGTCCCAAATAAAACAATTACATTAGCAGTAAGGCCATCAAAGCAGATAGCACAGTGGCTGGGTGACTAGCTTAGGCACTGGAGTCAAATTTAGATATTCAGATTCCTTTTTCTTCCCCTCCCCCAAGCTGTGCCATTAGGTATGCAGGATCTTAGTTCCCCAACCAGAGATCAAAGCTGTGCCCCCTACAATCAAAGTGGGGAATCGTAACCACTGGATCACCAGGGAAGTCCCCCTTTCTCTGTTTAATACCAGCTATATAACCGTGGGAATGATATCTAACTTCCTTAAGCTTCAGTTCCCTGATAATACAGAATGGGAAAAATAATATCAACTCTTAGTGAATTTTACGGATGAAAGAAAACACTAAGTGTGAAGAGCTTGGCACAGAGCCTATGCACAGGAAGTATTTAGCTAAAGGCTATTAATACTATTCAGTTCAGTTCAGTTCAGTTCAGTCGTGTCCGACTCATTGAGACCCCATGAATCGCAGCACGCCAGGCCTCCCTGTCCATCACCAGCTCCAGTGTCCATCGAGTCGGTGATGCCATCCAGCCATCTCATCCTCTGTTATCCCCTTCTCCTCCTGCCCCCAATCCCTCCCAGCATCAGGGTCTTTTCCAATGAGTCAACTCTTCACATGAGGTGGCCAAAGTATTGGAGTTTCAAAGTAAGCAAACCAATTAAAAATAACTAAGAGAGTTTTAAGTCAAAGATAATGCTCTTAATTGAAAGGTTGTTCCTTGAGTGTACAAATTACATCCAATGGATTCCCCATTTTACTTCACTTTTATTTTTTTCTGCCTTACATAACTTTTACGTGTGTAATATCCTCCCATGATTAATAATAATTCACTAGTGAATTATTTTTCAATTATTATTCATCATTAGCAATTTAAGTAAGGTATGTTTTGGTTGAGTGTAACATCAGCTACAATAAATCTGATTCCACAGCAACCCCAATATCTTACACACAGAGTTAAAATATATATAAATAGATATTGTTTGAAATTATAGACAATTGTAAAATTTGAGCTGTGCCTTTTTGTTGGTGAAATTTTTTCATGTACATTACAAGAGAAAAAAATTTTTTTTCTACATTATGCTAAGTGAAAACATTCTCTTACTCAGCAAATTTACAGTGATTTTAATTTCAAAGCACATGATTCATCCTAAACTCTTTGAGGTTGGAAAAGAAAGAGAATGCCAAACACTTTATTGGACAATAGATTCCCTTTGAATAATGTTACTGAAAGCTATTAAAATAGACACCTCTGTTGTCAAGGTGACTGTAATATTCAAATAGTTTATTTTTGAGGAGATGTTAATAGAGGGAAAAGATAAGCAACAGCTAGTAAGCAGTCTGATTGTTTGTCACTCAATGAAGGGACTTAGAGTAGAAGTATTACACATATAAAAGGACAGAAATAGTCCCCGAGTTGGAAGTAGCCTAGATGTTGTATAATTGAACTATTATTCCATAACATCTTCCCTAGTGATCTGTCAACTTATATTGGATCACGTTCCTCCTCCAGGAAGCCAGTTCTATCTTTGGAAAAACCTAACAATTAGAAAACATTCCTATTTCACTATCTACCCCATGACCCCATTCTTAATCTCTCTTCCCCAAAACAGCCCTTCAAAAGTTTGATGACAGTCCCCATAATCCTTCTGGGCCTTCACTTCCATAGATTCAGCTTCTTTAGTTTCTTTTATTCATTCTTCTTTTATGTGGATAATATACTTTCACCATTCTGATCACTCTTTTGAATTGAAGAGTCTAATTACAGAGTCTGAATTAGTAGGAAGGTAATTGAGAACAGATAAAGGGCTCATCTAAAAATCTGTTGGCTTTAATGACATTTATTTCTTTTTAGGATAAAGTAGGAGTGACAGTTAAGTAGAGATCATAGGAAGAAGGAAGGAAGCTAGATCATTTCCAAGGAGGATACAACTATTAAAGCTCTCATCTAGCAGACAGGCACAGAAGGGTCAGGAAGGGTCAAACACTGCCAGGCTATTTTTAGCATGTGTGGCCTAAGGTTAAGTTGCCCATAGCTAAGAAAGCTTCCAGTACTACAAACATAAATGACTGAGGAATCAAGGAAATCGTTTGAAAAAACTTTTCCAATACTACCTGATTTCCTAAACATGAAAAAGAAAGTGGTGGGCAGTGTTAGAGCACTCTTCAATACTTACATCTTCCACAGTGTTTCTCAAATATGTATTTATGCAACCAGCATTTTATCTTCAGTAAAATAAAAGCTAAAGCCAGAAAGTGTCCTTCAAGGTCATGTACTCCAAAAGCCCCTCTTAAAGTTAGTGTTCACCTTCCTTTTAAGGGAGCTGCAGCAAAATGAGTCATCAATTCACAATGGTAGCCATGCATCTCCTGCCCTGGAGAGGCTTATCAGCATGTGGAATGATCTATCGCAACCATCTGTGGGAAAAAACAACGGACTCTGGGTAACAGATGCCATAAACTACAAGTTCCCCAGCCCTGAAAGGTTCAGAAGCTCAAGGAAGGCACGGCACATGGGAGCTGATAGTTTTGATCACAGGGTCCCTGTGAGAGTCAAATTGCTGTCATTTTAGCAACTGTGTAACAAACAGATGACTGGCTGTATTGCTCAGAAGCCTAAATCTCAGAGAAGAGCTGGAAGCTGTTCCTGTGAATCATATTCTTCTGCTGTTGACCCCTTAACTATCTTACAGGCCTTCAAAGTCTTTCTTCTTAAAACTTGCATAGAGAGATATGTTAAAGCATTTGATGAATACAGGTCTCATAAGTCAGTAATTATCCATTCTTCTGACAAGTAAACTTGCCAGGATGTACCTTTGCCAAAATAAGTTCTTTCCCCCTCCACTGTTACCTTTAGTTCAGTATTGTTAACAAAATAAAATGATGTCAGAACCCTCCGTGGATTCTTTGAGATATCATCACCTGTATCAGCTGAATTGTCCTTAATGCCAAGACAATACTACAATAAATAGTACAGCTAGTATTGAGCTAGGGTAGATTCTGGGCCAACCTTTTCTCTTTAAAAAAATCTAATTTCCACAAAAAACAGCTGAAAATTTACTAGGAAATTTGTCTTTTGCTTGAGAATATTCAGGGCTGTTGATTCCTACAGCCAGGGCAGGTACTGGGACAGTTAGGGTCATGTCACACGCTCTACAGAGAACTAGATCATAGAATAAAACAATGACCAATGGGCCACACTGGTGTATGACTGCCTTGCGCCATATTCCTCACTCTAGTCCCTGGCCTGAGAAGCTTGAGAGTTAAATCCTTGTCCCCAAAAGAACCAAAGCAAAGAGTGGATACATTTCCTACTGTGTTATCTCTTGTCTCCACCGTTGCCTATTGAATTGAATTCCCTATGTAAGTCTCTGAACCTTTTACCCAGATGCCTTTGCTTAGGTTCCTAATCACTGCTCCCCAATTTGACCATGCATCCAACACTGACTTTCAGCTTCCCTCCAAAACCCTAATCTTTTATTTGCCCATCATTTGTGTTTTCCATGTCTCTAACACAAGCAATTCTCCAGACAGATACCCAGCATCATTGTGCTCTGACTTTGGCCTAGCCACTCTTGCGCTCACCAGACTGTCTTAAGTTTCTTTTTCATTCTCTGAGTTCCTGTCCACACTCTAATTCTGAATGACCTCACAGTGTGGACATGTTTACTCTCTGGAATAAAGCAGTTTAATGTTTAAGGGTGTGGACTCTGGAGTAAGGCTTTCTGTGCAAAACCCACTCTCTGCATACTAGCTGTGCTATCTTGGATAAATCCCATACTCTCTGTGAGCCTCAAATTTCTCTTGTATAAAATGGGGAATAATGATAGTACTTTCCATATAGAGCAGCTATGAGGAATAAACTTAATATGTATCGATATGTGTCACAGTGTCTGACATATTTATCACCATGTTAGCAGCTATTACATGATTTTTCTACTCCAACTATGTGATAAGTTGGATAATTTAGGATGCAGCAATAACATGTCTCATTAAAAATTCCCTCACATCTAATTTATCTTTCATTAAAATGGTCAGCTTTAGCGCTGGCGATTTTGCTCTGTTAATTCTATATTTTTCCTTATAATAGACTTACTTTAGTTTGAATGTGCTGTCCTACAGGAGATCTTCATTAATTTATTCATTCATTTAATGGCAATTGGTAAGAACCTACTATGTGCCTGGCACTCATAAAATTAAATGATCAGGAAATCAGAACCAATATAATTTGAAATGCCATCATCTGCTTTTAAAACTACTTTGATATTAAGCATTTCTAACGTAGAATTGTGCTTCTAGGGGATGTTTGGCTTTGAAACTGTTACCTAAAGGGAAAGTTCATTAACAGTCCTGTTTTGAATTGTTGTTTGGATAGCTTGATTACAATAATATGGCAATTCATTCATCATGAAATATTTGAAAACTGGCAAAGTATCTGTCTCAGAGACTAGCACTAGTTAATAATCATAAATATCTAGTTTTCCTCTCTTCCTCCTCAAACCCATTTTAACTCTTGGATGCAAAATCTCCCTCCCTTTCCCTCTCTCCCTCCCTCCGAAGAGTGTGTGTGTTAAATCACTTCAGTCCTGTCCCACTCTTTGTGACCCTATGGACTGTAGCCCACCAGGCTCCTCTGTCCATGGGATTTCTCAGGCAAGAATACAGGAGTGGGTTGCCATTTCCTCCTCCAGGGGATCTTCCTAACCCAGGGATCAAACCCACTTTTTCTGCATTGGCAGGCAGTGTCTTTACCACTGAGCCACCTGAGAAGCTCAAATTTTAGCTCCTCACTACAGGAAATACTTGTTTTTAGAAGGTGTGTGTGTGTTAACCATTCAGTCAGTCATGGCCGACGCTTTGTGACCCCATGGACTGTACCGCCAGGC